GGGGCTGTGGAGTCCTTGAAGGACTATAACCTCCAAGAGCCCTGAGCCTGTATCCAGCCGTCCTCGGGGCTGCTGGGAATTGTAGTTTTCCTGATTTGCTTTTTGCTTGAGGGGAGTGTTGATTGGGTGGGGTAAGGAGTTCTCTAGTTCTTACCCATGACACCCAGAGTCCTTGCTCATGAGCTGCTTCCTGTCCCCTCCCCTCCACAGGGCAGCCAAGCCCAGCTGAAGGAGGTATGGGAGGAGCTGGACGGACTGGACCCCAACAGGTTTAACCCCAAGACCTTCTTCATACTGCATGGTAAGGTGGGGAGGGTGTCCCAGACGCGGGCTGCACCTGGAGTCTCTGACCCAGCCTGAATGCCAAGAGGGGTCTCCCATTCCAGTGGGGCTTCATCCGACCTGAGAGGCCTGAACCCATCCCCCCTGGTTGACCCAAAGGCCCTGGCCCTCCCTCTTGCTAGCGGTAGGATCTTCCCTGGAAGGGCTGTGCCTCTATTTTGGAACATCCCAGACCAGGCCTGGGTGGCCCTCCCCCAGCAGCCCAGAAGCCCTGATCCTCTCTGGGAGTCCTGTCACCTAGGCTGGGCTGCTCCTTACTAACCAGGCCCCCAGACCCTAGAGAGTCGCATCTCTGTGGCGGATCAGCAGCACATTGCTCTTCCTCTGAGAACAGGGCCTGGGTTGCCAGACTCCCTCAGGTGTGCCTGGGTCCTGGCCCCAGAGGCTGTAGCTCATCAGCAGAGCTTGGCAGGACCTGGTTTCTTCATGTGGCAGATATCGACTAGGCTCCCTGGTGAGCACCACGCTTGGTTAAGACCCTGTGGATAACACTGAACGAGTCCGGGTTCCTCCCATCACAGCCACTTGACAGACAGATCACACTGTATTTGAGTGACTCGTGACAGTTGAGTGAGAGGCAAACTAGGGTTTTACAGACACCAATTAAACTGAAATAATGTCCATAAGACACGTCTCAACTTTAGGGATGATAAAATGCACAAGAGGAAAAGGTATCTCAGAATCACGGAAATGAGTTCTGCAAGAGTCTCAGGAGATGGAGAGAAGACAGCTGGGTTAAGGGACCTCAGTAGCCTCTGTAGATAACTTGTATCAGGTGAAATGAGCAGTATCCCAGTAGAACTTTCTTAGGAGACCCACAGCTGTGCTGTCAAGCATGTTGGCCAGCAGTCCACGTGGCTACCGAGCAGTTGGACTACTGATGGAAGGACTGAATTTTTGTTTTTTTTCAGTTTTCATAAATGAAATCTTTTAATTTGAAAAGGGTTTTTTGTTTTGTTTTGTTTTGTTTTGTTTTGTTTATTTTTTTGGCTAGGCATGGTGGCACATACTGGTAACATACTGGTAATCCCAGTGATTTAGGAGGCTGAGGCAGGATGATCACAAAGCCAGCCTGGGCAACTTACTGAGACCCTGTCTCAAAATAAAAAAAATCAAAAGGGCTGGGGATGTAGCTCAGTGGTGAAGTATCCCTGGGTTTAATCTCCAGGACAAAAAAAAAAAATTTTTTTCACCATACTAATTTACCATGTTAATCATTTTTAAATGTACATACAGTTCAGTAGCATGAAGTATATTTACATTGTTGTGCAACCAGTTCCTGGGAATCTTTTCATCTGGCAAAGCTGAAATTCTGTACCCATCAAACAGCGGCCTGTTTAGCCCTCACTCCAGCCCTGGCAGCCAGGCTCCTGCTCTCTGTCTCTGTGAGTCTCTTTGATGTTCTAGGTTCCTCATCTGACTGGAATCATCCCGAATTTGCCTTTTTTGTGACTGGCTTATTTTACTTATTTTTTCATGGCACTTGATACCAATTGAGGTTGCCCCATGTGACTAGTAGCTGCTGGATTGGGTGGCCCAGCTCAAGAGAGCACTTTTTTTTTTTT